TCAACAAATGAGATGACATGGCCTTTCACCCGTGACCCGTCTCGAAAGGTGTTTTGTTGAATTGGTGTATTTAAGAGTTTTGTGTTCTAGTTATTTAGAATGGAGATAAGTACTTAAAAGTAAGGCTATGTTAAAACAAACATTTCAATAAGTATAGTTGTCATTCAATTTAGACTACATGCCTCTAAAAAATAAAGTGTTAAGCACATTGTAGGTTACAAAAGTTGTATGAGCTAAAGATTAATGGTTGTTCAGATACTATATCTGAATGTAAATCAACATTATTTCTGTACATCTCACAAATAAAGAGTTAAAAATTTCCTTAAGCTAGGGTGACAAGAGGCTTGAATCACCTCCTCACAGGTGAGGGATAGGATTAAGAAAGAGACTTATAAACTTGTAGATACCTTACTTTTATATCAGACCTAGGTTCTAGTGTAGTGTTCCACAATCCTTAGATTCTTACATCAGCAATCGTTCCATATAAACTACTGAAAGAGGCCTTGGCCATTTTAAACATATAAAACTAAAAACCACCTAAAGAAACAACATTGCATTATTACTGTTAACAGTAAAGACGATCTCTATTTGGCTGACACTGTTGTTGTTGTTACCTGCCCTAAAATGTACACCAATACTTTAAAACATATAAGTAAAGATTATCGTAAACAGCAAACACAAATGACCCACCAGCTATCCAGTCAAGCCAATGTTATGCTAGAACCCACTACCTAAAGAAAGTACCTCAAATTCCAAACTGACTTTTAACTAGTCATTCACTTTAAGAAGCACAGTAGCATCAACCAAGTAAATATCGACTTTATTGATAATATTACTAATGTAATGTTTCTTCTTTCAAGGTAGTTTCCAGATATGGCCACTACCTGAAGAGGCTTGAACATAACAATGTCAAAATCTAAGTATCCATGACACAAAAGTAATACATTTGATTGCATGACAATAACAGTCTCTTTTATCGGGTCAATCAAAGTCTTGAACCAAAGGGCATGGTGGTTAGGGTGCTCACAATCTGAGTATATAGGTTGGATTCTCTGTCACACCATACATGCTTGCTCTTTCAGCCATGGGGGAATTATAATGTTATAATCAATTTCACTAATCATTGATAAAAGAGTAGTCTAAGAGTTGGCAGTGGGTGGTGCCTTTTCTCTAGTGTATAAATGCTAAATTAGGAATGGCTAATGCAGATTGTCCTCATATAGTTTTGCACAAAATTCAAGACAAGCCAAACTAAGAAAAATCTGATATAAATACAGATATAATCATTCAGATGTAAAGTCCCTAAAAATTCCTGCAACATGTCTTCAAAACTTTCACTAAAATTGTTTAAAAGAGTACACATATTTATCATCTACATTTTGTTAAAATTAAATTAGAAGCATATAGCTTGTTTGCACATAATGAGAATGCTCCTGAAATATTCGTTCTAAATGCCATGATTGGGTTCTGGGTAAGGTACACCTGAGTGAAAATGTGAAGATCTGTATGTAAACTTTTTGTGACACAGCTTCAGCTTGCTTTAAAGCAAATGGATGACTCACTTATGCAATGTGGCTGACACCAAAATATCTATGTAATTAAAGATGACGTAATATGATTACACTGGCAACACAATGTTTCAATCAAGAGATTCTAGCATTCTTCCCAGGAATGGAGGATGGCGTGGAAGAAACTGAAGGTGGGCACACCATCACATTCGTTTAGACAGTGGTGTTGTAGGTTTTAGCGTTACAGTGTTCTATTATTTGACAGCAGAGTCAAATAGTGGTTGATCTAATATATCCATGTTTGTACCTCAGGCACATGAACTCTTATATCACTTGCGAGGTATTCAATGTATGCTGTTTATCTTTGAAGTTAAAGAGCCATTTTAATTTTCTTTTAAAGATACATTTTAACTGAACTTGTGGATATAATAGCTGCTTGATAATTTCCTTCTTAATTATGTGTGAAATAGTGCTTAAATATGATATGACTAAACTAACAGCATCCTTCGGAACATTTCGCATATCAACAGATAGGGTATTTAGTTTGGGCGTGGATTATGTTATTTAGGAATCATAAAGTTAATGATACACTTTAATGGTAAGTATCCCATGATTTTTGAAGACTTGAACACCTAATAACAAGAATTTGTCATTCTGTTGATTTCCAACAGTGAAGTTTTTATTGGGATGTTTACCATTTAGAAACTGGAGAAAATCGTTAACCGTCTTGACATTCTTAAGCCCTACAAAAGTGTCATCACCTTACTTCCTGTAATACACAAGTAATTATTGGGATACTTGGGCACCCAAAGGATGCCACCTGAGGGTTGTATAATTATTACGTCACATGCAAATAGTGCTGATACCTGGAGTTTACATGGTTATTACGTAATATACAAAGGATACCACTGACTAAGGGCTACATAACTGATACATAATAGCACCATGGGGCGTGGGTGTTTTAAGGAAGGGGTGACACGACAGTTTGATACAAGAGGCCCTGTTACTATAGGTTGATGGTATTACTTGGCATAGTGTGTGTGCTTTACAAAGGGGGATAGTGTTACTATGCTTCCGTAGGACTGCATACAGATTTCAACAAAGGTTTATAGTTTTCATAGTTCAAAAACTCATCGTAGGGTGTCTCAACATATGATTATGTCATCGACATTGTAGTTTTCTCTTCTGGATTTAATTATATATTCCTATAAAGTTACAAGTAAAACCATTATTTTAATGAGACAACTATTAGAGCATAATATATTAATTATGCCAGCTTTTATCACACACACTATTTTAATTTATTCGTTATTTGAAGGAGGCAAATATTATACCATAGCCAGTAATTTACATACTTTTACAATTATTGTCCTTAAAAAACAGATTTTTCATGGTAATAATTATTTAAATTTCCAAATAATATACAATAATTTAGCATACAAGCTTACAGTTTCATTCTATAAGTATATATATATATATTATTATGAATGTTTCGCTTAAAACATTCTTATGCTAACCCTCTATATATATGTAACTCTGTTTTCACTCTATCTCTAAGTGTAAGTTTAGCTGCAGGATCTGGAAGAGACTTCCTGTTGTCTGGGGTTGATTAGGTCCATGGCTAATATATCCTCCCTGTGTAAAAGACAGTAAATCGTCCTTTAATGTATTAAATTCACTTTGAAATTTACTAATCTTTTCCATTTGTACTTCATGCTGATGTTGTACTCTCTCTCCTTGTTCTTCTTGCCACTGTTGCTGGCTTTCCTGTAGCTGCTGCTGACTTTCCCGCAACTGCTGTAGCCTCTCTCTTCTTGTTTCTTTTCTTTTTCCTCCAACAACTGCTGTAATCCCTTTTCTTGTTTCTTTTCGTTTTCTTCCAACAACTGCTGTAATCTCTTTCTTTTTCCTCCAACAACTGCTGTGATCTCTTTTCTTGTTTCTT